ATCAATCTCTGAATTCAGTTGCCAGAGTTGTGTTCAACTCGGGATAAAATCTAACTATTTTAAAAACTCTGAATCTAAAGAAATTTTTAAAATTTCAGTCAGGGCCAGCCCTAGTTTACTTAAATTTATCGATAATTAGTTTTTCTGCTGAACATTTAGTCTGTGTTTCATTTAGTCTCTATATTCCTATGTTTCAGAAACAAGCAAAATCTCATTTGCACGTGAACTGTGAGGTCAATGTGTTCTACGTCATCATGTGCATGCCAGGAATAAATAAAGGTACTTGACAGCTATCTCCTGGCATGAGCCGAGTCAGTACCACAGAAAGTTTAACAGCTCCTTCATGTTGCATTTTCTCTTTCAAATATACAATGGCTCGAGGAATTATTTTGTTCAGGCAGACAACGCAATAACACCAATATCGCAGGAAATGGTGGGGAGACATGCTCTGAAGGCGACAAGCCAACAGTGAGGCAAAAGCACTTTGCTGGGTCAGTTGTAGACTTTTTTTTTTTTTTTCATTGTTAACACAATCCTCAGAACCACATATGAAATAAAACATGTGGCCCCGCATAATTTCCCCCAAAGACTTGTGCACATTTTCAGGGCTCCCAGAAGCAAACTGCACATCCTGGTGATGATGCAAACATTTGCAACCTCTTTCAAAATGAAACTCTACACAACTGAGACAAGAGAATAAAAACAGAGATGAATGATGAAAGGTGGAAAGAGGAATCTCCAGACATTAAAAAGTACATTTGTAAAACTCTGAAGTTGTGGATTACTTTTGTCCCCTTGGTAAAAAAAAAGTATAAAAACAGAAATGCAGAGAAACTTAGTACTTAGCGAGGCCATGCAAAGCTCAAGCCAGAGGAATTGTAGGGGCACCCAATATAGATAGGTCACATAAGGGGCTATCAGCTAAATGAGGTGCAGAAAAGGCAGGCATGCATAGAAAGGACAGCCAGAGAAAGGACAGGCATGCCAGGATAAGAAGCCAGGACATTCACTATTAAGAGAGCAAATGAGAAGAAAGGTTGGGTTAAGGCTGCTGCAAAAATTCCCATCACCACACAGAACCAAAACCATGTTTGCACAACTCAGGTTGCTCAAAGAGCACTCATTTTGAAATGTGTTTTGTAATTATTGAACTGTAGACAAACAAGGTCTCTCTTAACGCCACATATATAAGGCATCAAGAACTCTCAATCACATTGATTAAAGTACTCAAATTTCAGATTCCAATAAAACATTACCTTGCAGACAAAGCCTGCTACACTTCTACCAGAAACAGTCACATGTGCAGTGGGATGAAAGCTTTCATCTAATGCATACCCTGGTTTTGGAGTTTTTTTTTTTTTTAATTTTTAAGCTGGAAGAAATCAGTAGATGGGTCTACATGAACTGGGCACCCATCAAGCAGCATACAACAGAAAGAGTTCAGTTATATACGGTTTTCTTTTGAATAGGGCATGTTCTGTCATCATAGATGGTTCTGAAGATGTTGGCAGAAGTTATGGGCTATTAAAAATTATTTCTATTCTCTGCATAGAGTGAGAAACAGAGAGGGAGTAAAAAAAAAAAAGCCTTTTACGGGTCAACAGCTGACCTCGTAGGTAACTCACAGGTGTGAGTTGCCAAGGGAAAAAGGCAAAATCAGACATTGTTGCATTTGATTTTGAAATGAAAGGGATTTATTTCTCACACATTTCAAAACCTGAGTTTCTATATATTTAGAAAAATCTATGGCACAGTGTAAAAAAAGTTGTGTATGGTAGCGAAGAGTATTGATAAGTGTTGTACATTTTCTCATCTGTTCACTCGATGTTCAAGCAAACACGTTTTAAACAACTATGCATCTTGAAAGGTTGCACACAAAAAAATAACTATGGAAATTGTACAATTAAGTAAGGGGCACAAAAGCAATCCACATACTTCATAGCATTTCCAAATGTGCAATCAAGAAAAGCCAGCACAAAACCAGAAATACACTCAAAATTTCCAGCAGCACTTTTTGTTCCAGTTGCATGCAATAATCTCTAGCTGATCTGTCCCTGAGTGTAGAAAAACACTATCAGCACAGATTTAAACAATCACATTGCAAGAATGAAGGCTAAACCAAAAGGAAAAGCACACTGTAGTAAACACAGACACCACTTGTCAGGACAAAAGATCAGGGTGGAAAGTAAAGCTGAGGTAGAACAAAAACAAAGATGCGAATAAACAATGCGTGAAAGACTACAATGACAAAGACTACAAAAAATGAATGACATGAATGTACAACAAAAAGCACAGAAAGCTTTAAAAAAAAACTAGGCGAGCACACAGATTTCTGGCCACATGTGTACCAATCCCCCCCCAACATTTGAGCGTCAGATGATATGTTCTTTGGTTTCACTGCCTCACCAATTACGTGGTGCCAAAGACAGCATTTACTACAGAATGTAAGGGCAGTTTTCATGAGCTGCCTCAAGCACCCAAGACAAACATAAGTTTCCCTACACTCACATCAGCTAGCCTATTAGGTTTTCCAACCCTGCCCATCACAGAAAGATGGTAGACGCGATGCGCAATAAGTTAATGCCCGACAAATCCTGCACACAAAATGTGCTGGGAGTTGCTTCAGTAGGTAAACTGAAACCCACAGAGGGTAGTTCACTTCCGTGTTAGGCCTTTTGGACAGCCTTTCATACTTTCTGTGCGTGTGCATAGATAACCGTAAACATGACAGGACAAGATGGACTTCAGAAGGACAGCTTTTTGACAAGAGCCACCTGCTATAATAGATTAGCTAAAACTCCACAAAAATAAAGCAGTAGTTGCTCAGCTGCACGCTTCATTTGGCACAAGTTTGCATCATAATCCTTCAGTGACAATCAGCAGCTAGCCCCATAAGGCTAGTGGTGTGACAATCTGTGTACAAGGGAGGGAATGTTACCCGGGGATCCCATGGGATGCCCCTGTATGCATAAGTCTCTAAGATTCACCGCTGTTGAGACACTTGTATTCTCTTCGCTGTACAGCCATGCTATAAATAAATCTGCTGGAGTGGCAACTCCTAGCCTGACCTATGGGAAACATTTACTCCTAGTCTTGAAGAGGCCAGTGCTTGCAGAGTGCATGGAAGAGGTAAACTGAGGACAACTTTAAAGATGCAACCGCTCACAAGTTCCCATGTGATCCTTCTTCGTACAATCCGTCTCAGAAACTTGGTAGCAAAATGAAAAGCTTGAGACAGTGCTCCAGAACAGTAAGGCAATTCACCTATTCACAACAGTTCAAACATTCAGCCATCCTGCTCCAGGCAACAGCACTTTCAAACAAACATTAAGACATGTGCTTAAAGAGCCTACAGCTTCTGCCAAATTGTCAGAGGCAAACTTAATAGCATTCTCTGAATCACCTCAACGTGCGAACAAAGCAATGTGTGCTCCTCTGTTGAGCCCAATCCTGCTGTACGCTCCCAAGTTTGCATGGACAAACATCACCAAAACAATGTAAGAGAGGACTGCTCGTTGTTTCTTAGCTTGGCCCCGAACACCATTTTGGTCTCAATTTTTTAAAGACTTGGAAACAGGAAGACTTGCAAAGTGAACACCACTATGCTTAAACAGAAAACTTTGTAAATTAAAAAGTGATACAATGAAATTCCATTTTCATGTTAGAGTACTCAAGCCGTAACTCACAGTCAATGACAAAATAAGTGCTAAACATTTAAGCCACATAGAAAACAAATTCAACTGAAATCACAATAGATAATTAAATGCTATTAAATGCTACTGGCTTGTGGGATTGCCTACTTTGCAAGTCATCCAACAATCCTCATGTCAATGAATCTGCGAAAGTACATTTGATGTCTCTTTTTTTTTTTAAAAGCCTTTTAAGCAAATAAGAAGGGCCCTATGACAAGCGCATGGATGAAGTTAATCGAGTTATTCTCACTTTCTTGACCAAAACAGTCTCATTTAGCATCCAGAAGATATTAGGCCTGGCTCAATAATTTTTATGTGCAATAAAAGTTGATTCTTTCTTACTCTATAGCCATTCAAATACCAAGTTTACAAACCATAATCACTTCTTTTGGTAATGAGAATTAAGGTCATTGATGTCCTCTAGAGGGGAGAAAAGTTAATTGTATAAATGTTTTGCAGGCTAACGTCAACGTTTTAAAAACCAGAACAAAATGACATTGTAGTACAGGAACAAAACATAACATGATAGCTTACAGAGGCAAATAATTGATTTGTAAAAACTTTGAAAATTTTTTCTAAAGTAACAAAAGACCCTCATCCCAGTCACTACTGATTAAACCTATGTGAGAGTCTAAATGCTACCATAGGCCATATTGAGCAGTGCAGTTGTAGGCAAGACTGGACTGGCCTAAAAGTAAGAACAGCTCAGTGGAGAAACACACAGAACTTGCAAAAAACAAGAGAGCATGTTGCATAGGACACCACTGTGGTGCTACCGGCAGCACCCAGGCAAGGCTGCCTTTGCTGTCACACCCTATAAAAACACCACAGCATTTATCTCATAATTAAGACCACAAACAGTTTAGCAATAGACACGAAAATTCAAGTATGTTCTTGCATAGACATTGCCAGTGGCACCAAAGCAGAAAGCAGCATACACTCTTGCCAGGGAACCGTTGAGCTTGCCAATGTTAGCCACAGTTTTTAAACTTTTCGTAACGGCATGGAGGCTTAGTGCAAGAAATGAAAGACTCAAAAGTGGTTTTGCATAATTTGATAATACAGGCACTGAAAGCAAGGTTGCAGTAAGCATTAGCAGTTTGATGATCTACATGGGGAGAACAAACTGCTCGTCCTTTTGGAATATTCGGTCACAATCCGGTTGGTTCCCATCAGTGTGAGAGTTAACACCAGTGCCAGTAACACAACAACCGTGACAGTTCATGGCAAGCCAAACGGCCCCTTGCACACTCGAAAGCCCTCAAAGCACGGCTGGAAGGGTGGATGGGGGGCTTCGAGGGTACTCACGAGCATCTTCAGGCGACAGGCAGTCGCAGGCGGGGGGCTCTGTCTTGGCATTGCTCCGCAGTCGCTCAAGTCGCTCCCACCAGGGATCGGCACCTGGCAGATTAAGGGTAGCAAAAGATGCCCCAGGTGGGCCCATGGGGGGCAGAGGGAAAGGGGGGCCCGCATAGCCTAGGGGCCCTTCAGCAAATCCCCCAAAGTGAGGGGGTGGCGGCCCCCCAAGAGGCGCCAGGCCCAACTCCAGTCCTCGGAATTCGCCCACAGCAGCAATACGACCAGCATCTACGTCGGGCACCCCTCCCGCCCGAGCCGCCCCATCTTGGGCACCGTCACCACCAAACTTGGACCCCCCCGCCGCAGTCAGCTGCTGGTGGTGGTGGTGGGGCGACTGCTCCGCTAGGTAGGAAGGAGCGCACGAAGTGGCGAAGCTGTTATATGTACTGATAATACTTGTATATGTACTCATAGATGTGGTCGTATTCGATAAAAAAGGCTGCTGCACTGCATCCGTAGTTGGCTCACTCTCACTGCGCGGCTGCTGATGGCTGGAGTCACTTTCATTTCCACGCACAGGGCTGGGCGGCACTAAGTGGGTCACATATGGCGGAGCCCCCTGAAAGGCTGCCCGTGGTGACTGTCGCTCTGCAAATGGCGATGGTGGCGCTGGTCCATTGCAGGGCTGTTTAAGGTGGCTAGTGACTGTGCTGGCCGTTGTCGTTGTGCCGATGGAGGCTGCAGAAGAAGTGTAGTGGTACTGAGCACCCCCACGAATGTCTGCCTCCGACGAAGATGGTGCACTTGTAGCGGGTGTTGTTTTCTTGTTGTCACACGCTTCCGCTTTGGATTCTGGCTGCTCTTGTGGTGCCCCATAGAAATTCCCATATGGCAGCATGCCATTGGTAGGAGCACCTGGCCCACTTGGGGCTCGGGCTGTGTTGTTTGTTTCAGCACTGCTGTCAGCAAACTCACTCTCGCGACTCTGATCCTCAGGCTGGGAGAACTCTGCTTCGGAGTTGTTGCTCCCTTGGGATGACGACCCATTCTTGGCAAACTCTGGCAGCTCTGGCCGGCCACGTGCCTGCCCCACGGAGGGGTTCGCCTCGTGCCAGGCCTCAGCTGGGAGCTCACTCGATGAAGGTGGCCGAGCATTGCCATTAGAATGGCTGCCACTGTTGCTGCTGCCGCTGTTGCTCCTTGCCAAGGGAGGGAAGCTCCGTGAGGGGCCGACCTCATTCGGGGGTGCCTGACGGCTGAACTGCTGGTGACCCATGGGCTCGTCAGGAACGGGCTGTGCTGGCTGCGGGTGCACAAAGTTGCCAGCAGGGCCCAGAGTACTTTCTAAGCCCTGGAAAGGGCCTTGCTCCTTCTGGCTCTGCCTAGTCTGAATCAGAGTCTTGAGGCGATTATTCATCATCTGGTGACGTGTTGGGAAGTCTGCCTCCTCAGTGCCCATGGGCAGGCGCCCATCATGCTGCTGCTGCTGTTGTTGTTGTTGCTGTTGCTGTTGTTGCTGTTGTTGTTGCTGCTGCTGTTGAACATGGCCATTGAAAGCACCCACCACTTGAGGGTGTTGGGCAGGAAAGGTCCCAAATGAAGAACCAGACTCAAACATCTGATTCGGGCCACCCGCTGTCCCACTCTTGGCTGTGGGTGGCAGCTGGTACTCGCTGTGGCCAGAAAAGCCACCGATCTGCAATATAAGAAAAAAAAAAAAAAACGGAACATTGGTCGAACAGCACCATGCACACCACTTGCAAAACACTGGTCACTCTATCCAAGGACAGAAATTAAGGCTATTTACTATTAAATACAAAAAAAACTAATAAACACGACGGGCAATAAACAAATTGGTGCAATTTCTAAAAATAACAGCCTCTGAATGGCGATTTGACAGTGCCAGTCATAAAGTACCTTTGAAATTTTTCCCCCACACAACAGTTTTAAATTAAAGAAACTATTGAACTAAAGAAAGTACAATGAGATAGGGCAGGAATCTTTCATTAAAAGGGCCTGGCAACACTTTTTCCGCATGGTCAGAAAATGCTGACAATTGGTAGTAGAGGCTCCTGAGAACACACAAGTCAATTGATTGATTGATTTGTGGGGTTTAACGTCCCAAAACCACCATATGATTATGAGAGACGCCGTAGTGGAGGGCTCCGGAAATTTTGACCACCTGGGGTTCTTTAACGTGCACCCAAATCTGAGCACACGGGCCTACGACATTTCCGCCTCCATCGGAAATGCAGCCGCCGCAGCCGGGATTTGAACCCGCGACCTGCGGGTCAGCAGCCGAGTACCTTAGCCACTAGACCACCACGGCGGGGCCAACACACAAGTCAAATATCATAGTGTAGTAGGCAGCATAAAATTGAAATTTTTATTGAAGTCAGCTGAAAGGTGTTCCCTCTTCTTTCTACAAATGATGTTGTGTTGTGCTGCTTGGTTCAGTTTCGTTTTTCAGTTTTAGTAGTGAGGTGGCACTTCAACCACGACACAACAGAAGTCTCATACTGAAATACACCCAAATTCATAATTATTGGCCGATTGGAGCATAGCGAGCTACATAGTCATTGCAGTCGTTGTGGGTGGCCCCCCATGTGCCCACGCAAATGGCCAAACTGAAAGTAAGTTGTGTGTCCAAAGAGAAAAAAAAAAAAGTTGCTCAAGGACTTCGAGCGGTCACCTGAGGTACCACCATCATAATCAACGGAAAGTGGGAAGAACAGGGGTTTATCCCCTCTTCCCTCACCTCGCCCGGTAAAACTGCAGGACTTTAAATAAAGTCCATTCATTCATTCAAGGTTGTGATAAGTGCATGACACAAGATCTTTTTTCCAGTTTAACAATGTGAGTTTAACGTATTCGGAGCAATGTCCCCCTTATGAGCACCAATGCATGACCAAGACAGCTGGAATTTGCACTTGCCCGGCACAGTTCCACCATGAGCAACGCGACTGTGGATAATCGCGCCCACTTGCACAGTCTCCCCAAAAATGCCAGGCTTAGCTTCGTTTCTGCTGTAACCACGAAAGTGCTACCACAAATACAGTGCACTAAAAAAGTACACTGTACTACAACACTGCACTTTGGCTAGAGAAACAGATTGAAATGGATAGTTTGTTGGCTTGAGAGCACATGGTCGCCAGGAAAGCAAAAATATCCACTAAATGAGTTTAACGTATTCGGAGCAATGTCCTCCTTATAAGCACCAATGCATGACCAAGACAGCTGGAATTTGCACTTGCCCGGCATAGTTCCACCATAAGCAATGCGACTGTGGATATTCGCGCCCACTTGCGCAGTCTCCCCAAAGATGCCAGGCTTAGCTCCGTTGCTGCCGTAACCAGGAAAGCGCTACTACAAATACAGTGCACTAAAAAAGTACACTGTACTACAACACTGCACTTTGGCTAGAGAAACAGATTGAAATAAATGGTTTGTTGGCTTGAGAGCACATGGTCGCCAGGCAAGCAAAACTATCCACCAAATTATGGCATAAGGAACTTTGATTAACGATATTCAAGGACTTTTCAGGACCTCAAAGAAATTTAAAGTTTTTCAAGGCCTTGAAAATGCCACTTTGAAATTGAAGGGTTTTTAAGGGTTTCAAGGACCTATGAACCCTGGAAACCTGGTGTAAAAAAATTGGCCCCGTATCTGCATGTAATCTGCAAATGTCGTCGAAAGACGATAGTCTTGCGTGTAGAGAGAGTGAACAAGACAATTATTTGATGTTCTACGCAAGAAAATCGGTGAATGGTATTCTGAAGGCACTGCATTAGAGTGCCTCGAGCGTGCAGAGGAGGCGAACGAGCTCATCAAGTCACGTCACACGTGAGACATAAGCGCCATCTGGCAGTTTTATTCAGAAAACAGAGCGCAAGGCTCTGAGATGGGTGCGCCCATCTCAGAGGTGATAAGGTGTAGAACGCAAGGCGACGGGCAGGTGCCACCACCGTCTCGTTTTACCAAAGCGTTGGAAACACTCGTCTGTCCGTGCAAGCGTTGCATGGTCAGCGCACCGTGATAAGCGCTACGGTCCTTAAAATTACTTATGCCTTTTCTACTAAGAGGCTCACATACAAAATATATACGTGTTATGATGCCCCAGACGTGCACAATAATTGCTTTTTAATTGACAATTGCACAAGCATGAACGCTCAACCTTGTGCAACATAGGTGGGCGCTGCGGATGGGGTCAACCATTTTAAATACCCGATGCCGTTAAGAGTGGACAAACAGACAAATGTACAGACAGACAGACCAAAATTTTTGCGTCAAAGGTCTCCAACAAAGACTATCATCTTTAAAAATGGCTGCAAACGCATTATGAGCATAGCATGTTCGTTTTATATGACAGGCATGTCATGATTATCATGTTTGGACGTGTCATTGATTTTCACATCACATAACAGACCTCTACCGGGGTACATCACAGTGTGACGTCATCGGTGCATGTGCAAGGCTGTGGTTTGCAAAACACTTTTGCCGGTAGTCGAGTACGGCACAGTTGCTGAATGCTTGGGGCAAGTTTTTTTTTTTTTTTTCGAAAGCTTGAACTTCATCTTACAGTGGCAACATTAGCTTTGGTATGTGTTAGAGAACTAGGTGTGTGGAAACTGATTGATTGATATGTGGGGTTTAACGTCCCAAAACCACTGATGATTATGAGAGACGCCGTAGTGGAGGGCTCCAGAAATTTCGACCACCTGGGGTTCTTTAACGTGCACCCAAATCTGAGTACACGGGCCTACAACATTTCCGCCTCCATTGGAAATGCAGCCGCCGGAGCCGAGAACCCTTAGCCACTAGACCACCGCGGCGGGGCAGGTGTGTGGAAAACTGCGTGATGAAATATTTGCCAAGCTGGCTCTCTCTTTATATCGGATAAGTGAACACACGGGGCGGCCCGTGAAAAATCAGCGCCATCGTCTTTGAAAATGTGCAGTGTTGATTGAGGTGTGTAACATGCGTTGACAAGCATAGACAATAGTAGTTCACCCTTGCGGATGGTCAGACTAAAAATGTTGTGCGTGGTGTGCGCAGTGTGAATAACACGGTGCGTCCTGTTTGCGAAAAAAAAAATGGCATTCGCTGTAGGCCGGTGGCAGTAACCAGTTGTCGATGGAACTTCACGATTTAACATTTAAATCAAGGTAGAATGCATTTGATGAAATCATTTGCGAGTGGGTACAACTCGGTGTTTGCGCGACGTGCAGAAAAAAAAGTGCATGATCTCCGAGTTCAAAGATATGACTACGCATGAGCTATGTTGAAGCGTTGTTCAATCAGCGTGTACGCTTCACCGCGGCGAATACTCAAACCTAGTAAAGATATAGCTCACATTATCGGGACACCTGATACGTCTTAATTGAAACAGTGGAGATTTTGTTTTTAATATACTTCATACTGTTACGGCTCGATCTTTATGAAGTGACAATGGGCATTAGGTATTTGTGTATCAAGTCTAAAGGAGCAATGCAGGTATGAAAATACGTTGTAGGTTTCAAATGCAGCAAGATATTATGTATATAAGAAGTTATCGGGTTTTATATCGCATGAATTTTCAGCGGGTTATTGAAAAACACCACGGCAGAATTTCACTTTAATTTTCACGGGGATACCTTAACCTCAGCGTAACGCATGGAAAAAGTGTTTCATTTTTTTTTCATTCATCTCCCATCATAATATTGCCCGATAAGTGAGAATATCATCCAAGATTTTGGGCAAAGCAGCTCAAAATCATGCTGCCGCCAATGCTGTGCCTCGTTTAAACCTGCGTTGCAGATGCTGCAATGAAAATTGAGTAAGTTTACATCCAGACAAAACATTCGCTTTCAAAGAAGATAACATATCTTTATGGCTGCTATCTACGTGGGAGAAGCCCACTGTGTGCGAGTCGCGACTCGGTGCTAAATAAAGCCCATCTATCTACGGCGAACAAATATCCACACTATGAGCAGTGACCGTTCCGCAACCCCTTCTTTTAAAAGCTGCGACTTCAGAGCATAGCAATGTAGAAATTTCTGTCGAAGGAATGCAGACACATGCAGCTCTGCCATGCAGAAAGATGCCGCCAGTGGAACTTTCTTGCCAACCAGCCTCTACTCCGAGGAAGGGTATGGTGGGCAGGGTGCCCGCAGTGACCTCAACCTGTTTGCAAACAGGGAGAGGTCTATACCAAATTTGGTATATGCTGAACTAGCCAAACCTCCACGAGCGCGCTATGAGCACTCACGGTGTGATGTTTACATAATATATAGTCTTTTTTAACATGACACACGTATCATGATTATCCCGTTTGAACGTGTCATTTACCTTTGTCGTCCATTTACGTCAAGTAATAACAAGTTTGTCATATGTGAAGCTAGCAAAACGGCCGTGAGCGCATCGTAAGCGTAGTATACAGTCATGTTCTTATATGGCACGCATGTCACGATTATCATGTTTGTACCAGTCATACACTTTCATCATCCATTCACAACTCGTACTACCAGATTTGATATATGTAAAGCTAGCGAAACGATCGCGAGCGCACCATGAGCGTGGTGTGTAGTGATGACTTACATGACATGCATGTCATGATTTCCCTGTTAGGGCCTGTCACTTACGTTGACATTGCAGTCATGTCATGCCATACCAGTTTTGCAATATGCCATGTGAACGAAATCACCACAACAGCAGCAT